TATAACAATGTCACACTGTCACAATGTCACACTATCACAATGTCACACTGACATACTGTCACACTGTCACAATGTCACACTGTCACAATGACATACTATCACAATGTCACACTGTCACAATGTCACACTGTCAAACTATCACAATGTCACACTATCAAAATGTCACACTGCCATACGTGTCACACTATCACACTGTCACACTATCATAATGTCACATTATCACAATGTCACACTGTCACACTGTCACACTATCACAATGTCCCACTATCACAATGTCACACTGTCACACTTTCACAATGTCACACTATCACAATGTCACACTATCATAATAGCACAATGTCACACTGTCACAATGTCACACTGTCACAATGTCAAACTATCAAAATGTCACACTGTCATACTGCCACACTGTCACAATGTTATACTTTCACACTGTCACAATGCCACACTGTCACAATGACATACTATCACAATGTCACAATGTCACCCTGTCACAATGTCACACTGTTACAATGTCCAACTGCCACACTATCACACTGTCACAATGTCACACTGTCAAATGTCACACTGTTACAATGTCCCACTGCCACACTATCACACTGTCACAATTTCACATTGTCACACTATCACAATGTCACACTATCACAATGTCACACTATCACAATGTCACACTATCACAATGTCACACTATCACAATGTCACACTGCCACTCTGTCACACTATAACAATGTTACACTTTCACAATTCACACTATCACAATGTCACACTATCACACTGTCACAATGTCACACTGTCACACGGTCACACTTCTACAATGTCACACTGTCACAATGTCACACTGTCACACTGTTACAATGCCACACTGTCACACTGTTACACTTGGATATATTCAACATTGGTGGTTAGTGTGCGACTTTGTGCGTCTGTATGTCTGTGTGTGTGTGAGAGAGAGTGTATGCGTGGGGTGGTGGTGGGGGGGGGGTTGAACTCGCTCGCCTGTTCTCTCCCTCTCCATCAATCTCTGTGTACGTTTTTTGTCTAGCTCTCCATGAGAGCGTGTGTGTGTGTGTGTAAGTGTGTGTGTCCGTCTCCCCCCCCCTCTTCTCTGTCGTTTGTTCTCTCTATCCCTCCCCCCTTCCCTGCGTTGTTTACTTTCTCAGCTGAGGTAGATTATAGAGATAAGAAATGAATGGGGTGGGGTGGGTAAACAGAGAAAATAAATAGGTGATGAAAATGGGAGTCGGGGGGAGGGGGTTGAGATCGGTACCTGACAGGAATGTCAGGGTGTCCAGGCGAAGTGAGCATTAAGTCGGTGAGCGTGCTCCTGAAGCTGACGGTTATATAGGTCAACTCATTACATCAGCACGGCGTGTAAGGGCGGACCAACTTTAATGGTTTCATAAGAAGGGGGGGTTGCCTCAAATAAGATGCCTGGTTGCCTCAAATTCAAATAGTGTTGGGGTTGCCTTAAATAAGGTGCGGATTGCCTCAAATAGGATGCCAGGTTGCCACAAATAAGATGGTGGGCGATGTCTATAGTGACAGGGAATAAAAAGAGCTGAAAGCTGTAGCCAATCATTATTTAAAAACACAAACATTTTAACATACAAACATGTGGGCCCGTTGACCAAAGTTTACACACTCCTAGACAACATAACAGTAATACCACCATCTGAATGTTTTGGATCCCCATCTACAATTATTTGACCCCCCCCCCAACCCCGAAAACTGACCCCATTAAACCCCTAATGACCCCCGAATGACCTAAATGGACCCCGGCGAGACAAGGTCACCGCAAAACACAGAAAAAACTGTTCAGAATGTGTTCATTAAAAAACGAAATATTTGAGACCCTTGTGATGACGAGTCGCTTCCAATCTGTTAGCAAAGAGTTTCATTTCAACACCTAGTTTGAGATAGACAGATTGGACTGGTGGGTTTTGACAGGGAAGGTATTGAGTGCTGATCAACAGATGGTGCGTCTGTGTGGTGTGCAGTGATACGCACACTCAGTCACATACTGCTGGTTTCAAAAGGTATCCATACACAAGGACTATTAGCAACATCAAGACGGTGGAGCTTTATAAAAATGTGCATACATACATACATTGAGTAGGATACAGGTGGTGCTAGGTCCCAGGTGCTAGGTGCTAGGTGCTATGTGCCAGGTGCTAGGTGCTATGTGCCAGGTGCCAGGTGCTATGTGCCAGGTGCTAGGTGCCAGGTGCTAGGTGCCAGGTGTTAGGTGCTAGGTTTAATGGAGAGGTAAATTGTCTTATTTATTAAAACATAAATACTGCGCACGCACACACACATGCCCCCCCCCCTACGCTCACACACACACACACACACGCACACGCCCACACACACTCGCCCCCCCCCACACACAAACCAACCAACAGATAGGATGCTAATGTAGGTTACGATGTAACAGTTGATTACATAATGACCTTCCTGCAGTAATAGCAAAAAAAAAGGGTGGTGGTGGAGGGGTGAACCACCACGGTCACCATTTTCAGTTCATAATATTTGTATTAAGTTGGGCGCCTAAATTCATGCTTGTGGGCATGAGCAGTTTCGTTTGCCCTGGCCTCGAATTCCTGTCATCCACAGGAACCACAATCTTGTAATTTACTGGCGTAGTCCTAGGGCAGGATACTATGGTCTAGGGCAGGATACTATGGTCTAGGGCAGGATACTATGGTCTAGGGCAGGATACTATGGTCTAGGGCAGGATACTATGGTCTAGGGCAGGATACTATGGTCTAGGGCAAGCCTGCACAACTCAGAATGTAAGGCGGGCCGTAATACATTATAGAAAACTTGTGCGGGCCAAAAAAAATATAGGTCAGGGGGAAAGCGTTTAAGAAAATAATAAGAATTAAGAGTTTTTCGTTACCTCGCGGGCCACAAAGTGGGTGCTGGTGGGCCACATGCGGCCGGCCAGCGGTATGTTGTGCAGGCCAGGTCTAGGTTGTGGTAATATGTCCTAGGAAACGTTCCCTCTAAGGTTTGTTGGTTCGTGTGCAAAATTATACCGTTCTGTGCAAAGTTTTACAGCAACAATTTTTTTGTAAGCAAAATTATACAGCCAACAAACACAAACACCCACTTACATGGAAATTTGCTGCGCAGTACTCATAAATGCTGCGCGGCGTCTGTGAGATAGCTGCGCGGCCGCGCTGCCGCGCAGCTTAAAGGGAACATTTGTCCTACGGCGGAATAATATGGTCTAGGGTGTGATAATATGGCCTAGGGTGGGATAATATAGTCCAGGGCGTGATAATATGGCCTATGGCGGGATAATATGGTCTAGGGTGTGATAATATGGGCAAAGGCGTGAGAATATAACATAGGATGTGATAATATTGCCTAGAGCGTGATTATATGGCTATGTTTAGAAACACATTTTTAAAGTTATTAAGCAATATCATTATTCATTTATCTCACGTGTAACTCTCCAATAAGTTACCTATGCCACTGCCCTGGTTACCTATGTCACTGCCCGGGTTATCTATGTCACTGCCCTGGTTACCCATGTCCCTGCCCTGGTTACCTATGTCACGGCCCTGGTTACCTATGTCACTGCCCTGGTTACCTATGTCACGGCCCTGGTTACCTATACCCCATCCCTAGTTACATATGCCAATAAAAATACCCACCCACAATTTTAAGGGAAACAACGAAAACAAAACACAAGATTTTCATTTACTGACGTAGTCCTAGGTGAACATTGTTCAATGCATTTTACAAAAAAAAAAGGTAAGTTGTGGAAACGTATAAAGTAGCAAGGAGCTAATCTTGTTTCAGGTCCAAAGAGGTGATGTCATCTTCGACTTCCGTTCGATAAAATCATTTAAATATTCAAAGTACACTGGCGGCGACGCAGGCCTAAAAGTTTGTAAACATTTCTTACAGGTCAGATTGTCACAGGTAGGCCCCGTCTCTTGTGCTCTACTCCGCTACCAAACGACCTGGGGAGCTGATAGTTATGTAACAAGTGAAAAGACTTATTTAAAGTGCACGCGCGTTGGCTGCCATGGCGGGGTGGGGCCGGGGGGGGGAATGACTGTCGTCATGAGTAAAGACTGGTCAAATTAGGAACCAGTAGCGACCCCAAAAAACCCGAGTCATACCAGCATCCATTGGCTACTTATTCGTCATCGTTCCGATACCAAACGACCTGGGGAGCTAATAGTTATGTAACAAGTGAAAAGACTTATGTAAAGTGCGCGCGCGTTGGCTGCCATGGCGGGGTGGGGCCGGGGGGGGGAATGACTGTCGTCATGAGTAAAGACTGTTCAAATTAGGAACAAGTAGCGACCCCAAAAAACCCGAGTCATACCAGCATCCATTGGCTACTTATTCGTCATCGTTTAATATGGCTAAGCTCTTACACCGGCGCCGATTGGCCTCGCGTTTTCTCTCACGGTCGATGTGGGCTTCTGATTGGCCGGCGCCGGGTTACCGTGGTAAACATTACGGCAGCAAAGGGGAGGAAACTATGTCATCATTCCGGGCTAGTACTACGGACTACGATATCAAAACAAACCTCACACGTGCAGCGCCAGTTCAGTCTGTGCTTGTATTCGCGCCACTAGTTTTTATAGTTTTAGATCGTGACAACAAAATACGCTTGTTTCAATGAGCATTCGCCACCTCTTACTTTAAGTAGTCTGTGAGATTTACGTCTTACTTCAAGTAATCTGTGAGATTTAAACCTTCAATCCCACGATTATATTTGCTTCGCCTAAAATTACAAATTTAAACAATTTGATATGTACAGTGAAGATGTTATTTTTATACCATTTTAAATAAACTATTCCTGGAGATAATTTTTTTTTTTTTTATCAAAGACGTTGTGATATAATTGTGATTAATTTTTTTCCGTGACGTGACGTCACCACGTAAACAGTAAAGGTGGCCGTCCAAATTAAGACAGAAATAGGGTCATTATCATAGTATGCAGGTTTCACTGACCGTCATTCGCGGCGCAGTGACCGACGAACTTGCGAACCGTAGGGCTGGTCAAAGAACTCGTCACCGGGCCCGAATTCGAATGTGTGACGTCGTGTCAGTGGTGACGATCGGTCGAGTCGACTGCTGCCAGTTCTTCATCCTCGTCTGCGACAGCGTGGAACAGGTTGTCCGGCTGTTCAAACAGCTGGTCGCGCGACTCCAGCACTCAATGTTCGGTGCACAGGTGTCCTACCAGGCAACCGAGGGCTGTGCGGTGAAACCCTTGCCCGATCTTTTACAAGGTAGAATCTTGTTTTAATTTTATTGATGTTTTGTCAGGGGGGGGGTCTTTTTAAACAGATTATTAAGTTTGAGATGAATTATTATTTTTTATGATCTCACTGGTTACCTATACCACGATCTGATTACCTATGTTTTGGCCCTGGTTACATATACCACGATCCTGATTACCTATGTATTGGCCCTGGTTACCTATACCTCGGCCCTGATTACCTAAGTATTGGCCCTCATTGCCTATGTATTGGCCCTGGTTACCTATACCACGGCCCTGATTACCTATGTATTGGCCCTGATTACCTATGTATTGGCCCTGATTACCTATGTATTGGCCCTGATTACCTATGTATTGGCCCTGATTACCTATGTATTGGCCATGGTTACCTATGTATTGGCCCTGATTACCTATGTACTGGCCCTGATTAATTATGTATTGGCTCTGATTACCTATGTATTGGCCCTGATTACCTATGTAATGGCCCTGATTACCTATGTATTGGCCTTGATTACCTATGTATTGGCCCTGATTACCTATGTATTGGCCCTGATTACCTATGTATTGGTCCTGATTACCTATGTATTGGCCATGGTTACCTATACCACGCCCCTGGTTACATATGCCAATTAAAATACCCACCCATCGTGACTATCATTTATTGACGGGAAAAAATTGAAAGGAAAAAAAAAATCAACAAATGAAATCATTTTTTTTTAAAAAGAACAACACAAAACTCACAAACAAAAAATGCATGAAAAAAAATCCTAGTGTTTTGATTTTAGTCTGAAGTCCGGTTCATTAAGTTAAGGGAATGACGTCAAATGGATAATGTGTTTTTATAGCACGCTGGTCGCGTAGAGATGACAAATAACACGGCGAAATAAAAAGTGACACGGAGATGACAATAATGGCAATGACGTCATTGTGTAGCATCGTGGGCTGCTCAAGGTTATTGACACGCTAACAACACACATGAGTAGTGCTTGACAAGAGAACAACACACATGAGTAGTGCTTGACAAGAGAACAGCACACATGTATAGGGCTTGACACCAGCACAACACTCATGTATAGTGCTTGACACCAGCACAACACTCATGTATAGGGCTTGACACCAGCACAACACTCATGTATAGTGCATGACACCAGCACAACACTCATGTATAGTGCTTGACACCAGCACAACACACATGTATAGTGCATGACACCAGCACAACACACATGAGTAGTGCTTGACTATAGGTGTTCGCTTCCGAGTGAGTATATGTGAGTGTGTGTGTGTGTGTTTATAATGGGTGAGTGACAACAATAAACACATCTTTTCAAACGCTCGTCCTACTTCCTCCCTTTTTAAGTTGGCCGGCGCTCCAAGCGGAGCTGGGGTGAAGATGGCAATTTTTTTTTTTTTTTCCTGAGCGGTGTTCCGCCCAAAACAATCTGCTTGATATCCCTGTTGAAAAGAACAGAAAAGAAAACACGTTTATTAAGAGAAAGAGAGAGAGAGAGGGAGAGAGAGAGAAAGGGAGAGAGAGAGAGGGAGAGAGAGAGAGAGAGAGAGAGGGAGAGAGAGAGAGAGAGAGAGAGAGAGAGAGAGAGAGAGGGAAAAGGAGAGAGAGAGAGAGAGAGAGAGAGAGAGAGAGAGAGAGAGAGAGAGAGAGGGAAATGGATAGACAGAGAGGCGCGAGGAATCGATCATTTGCAAAAAATTGGTTCAAGTTATGAAACGTGTTGTAACTAGGCGGCACACGAGCAGGCGGCACACGAGCAGGCGGCACACTAGAAGGTGGCACACGAAAAGGAATCCTCCAGAACTGATGACCAGAATGAGGAAAGAAAAGATCTCTCTATTCTTACCACTTCTCAATCTTACACCCCCCCCCACACACACACCAATTAAATGAATCTTACATCACCTGGTGTCGTGTCGCAATAAGTTGAGGTCGCAGCCAATCACTCTCTTTGTCCTTGAGTCCTGACGTCAGATAGTACAGAACAAATCCGACCAAAAATAAATAATGATTCTAAAAATAGCCCGCTGAAAATTGGCCTGGTACCACGTGATGATAAATTTAGAATCCTTTAGAGTTATTATCTAATTTTGAAGGTGATTAATCCCTAAGATTATAATTATCCCCCCCCCCTCCCCCCCGAGTGTTCATCTTTAGTCGGATTATTACAGAACCTGGTCAGCTAGTTCTCATAATTTTAGATAGAAGTTGTTAGAGCATGACATGTTACCTCCTCACTTGTAAAGCGATTGCAGAAATTGAACATGGTCGATTTGTCTTTATTCTGCCAGGCTCCCGTTAGCCACGCGCCACCGTACGCTAAACAGGGAGGCGTAGCGGTTGGGGGAGGGGAGAGGTGGAAGACAAGGAGTCACGTTCAGCCAAGCTTGTCCGTTATCAGGGTGTGAGGTCACGTGTTGCATGACGGACCGGGGGGGGGGAGGGATACCAGGGGGATTCCCCAGACCAGCAAACCCTCTTGTGTTGATTTGCTACAGGTAAGACCAGGTGGCTGGCGTGGTGGGGAGGGGGGGGGAGGAACGCCTGGGTGGGGATCGCTGGGCGGGGACCCCTGGGTGACAACATCAATCGATGGAAATAAAAGTCTGGTTGAGATCAGCATCGCCTCGACACAAAGTGAGACTACGATAAGACAATCATAAGACTAAGACTATCATAAGACTAAGACTATCATAAGACTAAAACTATCATAAAACTAAGACTATCATAAGACTAAGACTATCATAAGACTAAGACTATCATAAGGCATGATAAGGCCATTGTAAGACGATCATTAGTTAGGACTATTATAGGACTCTCATAAGACTTTCATACGACTTTCATAAGATCATCATGAGACAATCATAAGACTATTTATAACTAGAAATTTTAGTGACATTAATTTATTATAGGCTATGTATCCTTGCCTAGTGGGTAGTTAGTGGCCTTGTCACTACAGCTAGTGACATGGTCACTACATTTAGTGGCTTGGTCACTATAGTTAGTGGCCTTGTCACTACAGTTAGTGGCCTGGTCACTACAGTTAGTGGCCTGGTCACTACAGTTAGTGGCCTGGTCACTACAGTCAGTGGCTTGCTCACTACAGTTAGTGGCCTGGTCACTACAGTTAGTGGCTTGGTCACTACAGTTAGTGGCTTGGTCACTACAGTTAGTGGCCTGGTCAATACAGTTAGTGACATGGTCACTACAGTTAGTGGCCTGGTCACTACAGTTAGTGGCCTGGTCACTACAGTTAGTGGCTTGGTCACTACAGTTAGTGGCTTGGTCACTACAGTTAGTGGCCTGGTCACTACAGTTATTGGCCTGGTCACTACAGTTAGTGGCTTGGTCACTACAGTTAGTGGCTTGGTCACTACAGTTAGTAGCTTGGTCACTACAGTTAGTTGTTAGTGGCCTGGTCACTGCAGTGAGTGGCTTGGTCACTACAGTTAGTGGCCTTGTCACTACAGTTAGTGGCTTGGTCACTACAGTTAGTGGCTTGGTCACTACAGTTAGTGGCTTGGTCACTACAGTTAGTGGCCTGGTCACTACAGTTAGTGGCCTGGTCACTACAGTTAGTGGCTTGGTCACTACAGTTAGTGGCCTGGTCACTACAGTTAGTGGCTTGGTCACTACAGTTAGTGGCCTGGTCACTACAGTTAGTGGCCTGGTCACTATAGTTAGTGGCCTGGTCACTACAGTTAGTGGATTGGTCACTAGAGTTAGCAGTTAGTGGCCTGGTCACTACAGTTAGTGGCCTGGTCACTACAGTTAGTGGCTTGGTCACTACAGTTAGTGGCATGGTCACTACAGTTAGTGTCCTGGTCACTACAGTGGCGATGTCTTGAGGACTAAAGCTTCATTTGTTCTTAGTGTATTGTAAAAGCAGAAGAAAAAGTACAATATCTGAAAGGATGCATGTCTCAAACGTCCATACATTCCTACTTCAATCATCCTAACATTCTCATTTCAAAGATCCTAACATTCCAATACCATAAATTATTTTTTTCTTTTTTATATCGGTGTTCTGGGGTCACTTTACTTACTTAAAATGTTGACAGTGACCCAGCCATTGGTCAATCAGTCATTTGTCACTCAGTCATTGGTCACCCAGTCATTGATCACTCAGTCATTGGTCACTCAGTCATTTGTCACTCAGCCATTGGTCAATCAGTCATTTGTCACTCAGTCATTTGTCACCCAGTCATTTGTCGCTCAGTCATTGGTCACCCAGTCATTGGCCACATAGTCCTTGGTCACCTAACTGCCACATAAAGTTTAAGTCTATACCCAAATGCGAAATAAGATTAATCCCGCCATCCATTTGTCTACGCTCAAGTATTTGTAAGCCAATTATTATCTCAGGTTAGGGTTAGTTTGGCTTAAAACGTTCCAAGTGTAAAGCGGCTCTGGACTGACACTTACGTTCGCCTGGACAGATACTTACATTCGCCTGGACAGATACTTACGTTCGCCTGGACAGATACTTACGTTCGCCTGGACAGATACTTACATTCGTGCGTTGGGTAAAATTTAATGTAACAATTTCAAAAGAATTTTATTATAGATATAAATATACAACCACGTGGCTGAAATATTACAACCCCACGGTCAAAGTCGAAAAGCAACAACTTAGACTTCGAACAGGTCGTGTCTATCTGTGGTCTCATTTGAGGTTGTGGGGGGGGGGAAGGTCTGAGTGGGGGGAGGGGCTGAGTGGAATGGGGGAGGTTTCAGTGGAGGGGCGATGAATGGAACACGTAAATGACATGGCATGAATTAATAAGCAAAATTGTTTTTCAATTTTTTAAGTCAACACTTGCCAATGTCAAGGACGGATCATTACAAAGCTTATCTATCTGGCTGGCGGCGTTTTGAAAATGGTGAAATCTTTGGTATCATGACTGGTTTTAAAATCATGCTACGCACTAGGTTCAGATGGCCGTGGCCCCAGTTTGTATCACATCAATCATTTCTGTATTATCAGTATTGTTGGCTTCACAGCATTCCATGGACATCTTTACATCCTCAATATTTAATTGTGGGCTCTCCAACATAGAATACACTGAGAACCCTTGCAGACTTTCTGTCTTCTCTTTGTTCTTGTAATAATAAAATCATTGAATGACTCGCTGCTCTCCCTTGGTTCCAGTGTTATTTACTTTAATATACATCAGGTGCCCCCCCCCCCCCCCAAAAGAGNATGCCCTTGAAATTCCCTACACATGACCGGAAAATATTCTAGATTCCAACAAAGTCTAATGTTGACCTCTTCATTTAGACTTTTCTTAATCTGGCATCAACAGTGTCCTTTAATTAGATCACAGGTTATCACATTGTAGACGAGTTATCCAACACGGAATAAGATAAATCACATTATCGTAAGCCCATTTATGACGTCATCAAAAGGTGAGTTATAGCCCTTGATACAAGAGTTAAGGCCCCTGATAACCCTTTTGATGACGTCATAAATGGGCTTACGATAATGTGATTTATCTTATTCCGTGTTGGATAACTCGTCTACAATGTGATAACCTGTGATCTAATTAAAGGACACTGTTGATGCCAGATTAAGAAAAGTCTAAATGAAGAGGTCAACATTAGACTTTGTTGGAATCTAGAATATTTTCCGGTCATGTGTAGGGAATTTCAAGGGCATTACGCTAAACAAAGAAATATAATGTAGTTACAAAACTTAAATGGCCTTCCAAGCGACACTGCCTGGTGGGTAGAGCCAACAATGTTACATTTGGTTAAAAATAGTGGTGAATTAGTGAAACAATGAATTGTAAAAGTGTAACATTGTCACCGTCTCTTAGAGAACAAGTCAGATCTTCCTATACAATGTAAATCTAAAGAATCTTTTAAAGTATTGTAAACTGACCTTAAAATATCGAATCATGAAATCAATTTCCTGGAGAGACGTGTGTGTGTGTGTGTGTGTGTGGGGGGGGGGGGGGGGGGGGGGGTAATGACATCATTTTTTTCTCCTTAAGAAACATCACGACGTTGTGTCCGGGAAAATCCGTTTTTTTTACGCCTTAGACGTAACGGGAAATCCCCATGCCGCCAAGAGAAAGTGTGTTCACTGGCACTGTTCTAGGCCAGTAACTGATCGTCACGTGGCACCTGTTATTATTGTCTGAGGACAGTGATTCTCGAAATAGTGCGTGAGGTTATACCCAAAACTGAGTTGAAGTCGTTCCCCGTGTGCACCAACTCCTGAGACAAGGATTATACATCTTGACGGTAACATCATGACTTCCTGGTGACTAACTAACGTCCCAGGGTATGAAGTGTACCCAGTTACGCGGTCGCCGTAGTTAGAAATCAGGCAATGGCCCGCCGCGCATGTACGATCTAATAAAAGAAGAAAAAACAATGTTTGTCTTAGGCGATGGCTATTAATACGATTTTCGTTTGCATGTTTGTTTGTTTGAGTGTTTGTCAATCATCACTACTGCGTGCTTAAGCTTAGAATTGTAAATGTATCCCCTCCTCTCTCCAAACACACTTCACCCCCCTCCACACCCGCCCAGGCGATTAGCGATGGCCTGGGCGGGTGTGGAGGGGGGTGAAGTGTGTTTGGAGAGAGGAGGGGATACTGTTTGTCAATCATCACTACTGCGTGCTTAAGCTTAGAATTGTAAATGTATCCCCTCCTCTCTCCCAACACACTTCCCCCCCCTCCACACCCGCCCAGGCGATTAGCGATGGCCTAGTTCCTAACAACCCCCCCCCCCCAATGGGACATTTTCACTTGTTCCCCCCCCCCCTGTCACCATGTTCTCATCTATCGCCCCCCGCCCCGCCCTCCTCTTACGCTGTAGTGACACAATAGATATTAATACTGTCCTCCTTAAAACACATTACATCAGTGAAGACTCGACCCCTCTCCCCCCACCTCCTCCAAAAAAAACCCCCAAAACAAACAACAACATTTGCCCTACTATCTCCAATCGCCTTAAAACTATCTTCTTATCAATCTGCGTATCACTCTGGATATCTAATCAATGATAATATCATTGATAGTTGACACCTTTATTTGCCGAGCGTTACACCGTCGGATTCACTCAAGCAGAACCAGGGCGCTCAGTTTCTCGCCGTCCATGAAGCGTGTCCTAAAGTCTCAACCAGTCTCAAGGGTTGGCCGTACCACACGACCACATCACGGGTTGCCCTCAAGGAAAAGCAACTCGTGCTAACGCGATTCTGGCAATGGGTGAATGCCCTTTGAACCCAACACATATTAATCTCATATTATTTTATGACAGAAAGAAAAGATACACTTAAACATTTGCATTTATCCTTCTTATTTCTGTTAAAGTTTCTAACTAGAATCCAAATGGTGTTTTCTGCCCCCCACCCCCCACCCCACACACGTCTACAATCCAGGCCTACTTTGTACTGGATCTGGCCATCTACTGATTATTACCGTCCAAGGGTATTTCCCTTCGGCCTACCTATCACACAAAGGAAAAAAAAATAGATAAAAATAGATGAAAATAAAAATGATACATTAAAAGTGTTCAAAGAAACGTTTTCTAAATATAGGAATTTTCCATTTCATCAAATAAATTGATAACTTGCCTAGTTTTTACAAAAAATTGTCCATCTTGCAATGCAGTTTTGGCGCCTCCCAAATAATTATTGTATACAACAATTTATAGCCATTGTCCCAATAATTATTGTATGCAACAATTCAACAAGCCATTGAATTAATGTGATAGTGTAATTAACTAAAATATTTCCATGAACTAAAAATTTCCCTCATTTCCATTTGGTTTGGTTTTTAATCTCCATTGTCGAAGGTCTCCAGATGTTACCTGAAAATAATCCTTTAAACAAAAATTACGTCACATCTTTATATAATTTTTTTTTAGTTGAACAAATGGTAAACAAAGATGGCCCGCATTGAGTGTATTACTCGCGGGGACAAGTTCTACGGCATTGTTTGTATATACATATTACGGGAAATGGCAAATAATTTAAAAAAAAATTATAATAAGTAATTTTCTTAGTTTTACGTAATGCTAACCTTATGCAGAAGTGATATCAGCAGTAATAACACAGTCATGGCTTCCCCAAACACGCACTTAAGTAGGCCAGAGATTCGAGGCTATAAATACTGGTGTGTCACACACCACGGTCACAACACGAAGGAACTCTCCAACAGAAAGGCTGTCACAATTGATTAGGTTCTTAGTGATCTGTGGTTTATGCTTGTACATTTATCATCGGATTATTCATTCAAAATTCTTGTAATGGATTTGGATAATTAATTTGAACTCTATGTGAGTTATGTTTTCTTTTTCTGTTTAGTCAGTTTACAATTTAATTTAAATTTAAATGCAAATAACTGTTTTTCAATTTAATTTTAATGCATGACATCTGATGTCAGTTCAATTTTGAACATACACGTTATTTTTATATATATATATATGTATATATATTAATTTGCATGAACTGCTTATTAAATATCATTCTTTACCTTCACGTTCATGTGACATAGCTTTTCAGTGTTCGTATTGTACTTGATGGTAAAAAATAGTTATATTTTATATGTGGTACCTGATGGTAAAATAGGACTAGGGTAATGTATATGTGGTACCTGATTGTAAAACATACATCTAGTTAATGTGGTACCTGATGGTAAAATAGGACTAGGGTAATGTATATGTGGTACCTGATTGTAAAAAATACATCTAGTTAATGTGGTACCTGATGGTAAAATAGGACTAGGGTAATGTATATGTGGTACCTGATTGTAAAACATACATCTAGTTAATGTGGTACCTGATGGTAAAATAGGACTAGTGTAATGTATATGTGGTACCTGATTGTAAAAAATACATCTAGTTAATGTGGTACCTGATGGTAAAATAGGACTAGGGTAATGTATATGTGGTACCTGATTGTAAAAAATACATCTAGTTAATGTGGTACCTGATGGTAAAATAGGACTAGGGTAATGTATATGTGGTACCTGATTTGAAAATAGGTCTAGTTTATCTGTGGTAACTGATTGTAAAAATAGGTCTAGTGTGTATGTGGTACCTGACTGTAATAAATAATTAATTGCATATAAAATAAAAATGGTTTTGTTAACAAAAATATGTGTGTGGAGTAAATGAAACATATTAGAAAACTAATGAAGTTCTGGATATGTTAACTAAACGTAAGCTAAACATATGTGCTAGTTAAGCCACTTAATATAAGTCAAACATATGCGCTCGTTAAATTACATAACATAAATCATAAAGTTGTACTAGTTAAACCACTAAATTGACCACTGAAAATAAACCATTTAAACCAGGAAGAGTACCTAGAGATCTATATCTATATCTAGATCTATATCTTTATCTTTTCAGATCTACCTAGGCACAGGGCCAAACCCGTACCATCAGAGCCAGACCTACTAACGTCACCAGGGGTCACCAGAAGACGCCCGGTCAACGGTAGGCGTGGCCATCCATCCCAGCACCCAATCCACTTCCGCCACCACCGAGGCAGCAGCTACCCGGGATCAATCAACAGCCACTTACACTGGTGTCAGTTGTCACGCCATTTTATAAAACACTTCGGCTCCAGGCTGTGGAGCATGTGTGGTCAGCTGGACCCCCTGCTGGCGCCACTAGTAACGTCTGCCGGATTGGAACTTCGACCCCATGCGTTAAGTCCGGCTGAACATATAGAAGACCGTATGGGTTACGTGACGCGGAGATGCGACGCTGCCAGAGAAAGGCCAGGTGGCGTCAGTGCTGACTCCGAGAACCCGGCGACAGTTGCAGTGGACAGTACGACGGTGACGAGCATAGTGCACGAGCTCAGGAAAATAGGAGACGATCTGGATATGCGCATGAGCAGTGAGAAGGAGGTAAGTTAATGCGAGGTCTAGTTCATTTATAGTTCATTTATAGCTCATTTATAGTTCATTTATAGTTCATTTATAGTTCATTTATAGTTCATTTAGAGTTCATTTAGAGTTCATTTAGAGTTCATTTAGAGTTCATTAAACGTTAGAATTATGTAAGCAGGCAATTACTGATTGCAAACTAATTAATCTTATTGGTCATTTGTGTTAGGGTCTTAACAGGGGGTCATCAGAGATGGGGGTTGTCAGTGCGACATGGATGAGGGTTGCAGGGATGGGGGTCGGAAGGGATGGGGGTCGGAAGGGATTGGGGTCGGCAGGGATGGGGGTTGGCAGGGATAGGGGTCGGAAGGGATGGGGGTTGGCAGGGATTGGGGGGTGGGGGGGGTGGGGGGGGGGGGGGGGGGGGGGGGGGGGGGGGGGGGGGGGGGGGGGGGGGGGGGGGGGGGGGAGGGGGGGGGGGGGGGATGGGGGTCGGAAGGGATGGGGGTTGGCAGGGATAGGGGTCTACTGGGATGCACTAGATTCAATTAAGCAGACTAAATTCACACACATTTCCTGACCTCCAATGAAGACAAAACATGCAATCTAAAAATAATTTAATGTCTGTACAAACTACTGATCTATTTAATTATTCTCATTCACAGCCCCAAGCTCAAATGGCTTTTTGGAATTTTAAAAGACAATTTGGCTACGATCTTGCCATGACCTTGACTTTCCAGCACGTTGTACGATTGGTGGGCGCCGCCGCTGAGCTGTGCTACTTGCTGAGCCGTCTGTGAGAATGCCCCAAATGACCAGGTGGCCCAAAATGACCTGGTGGCCCAGAATGACCTGGCGGCCCAAAGTGACCGGGTAACCAAAAATGACCAGGAAATCCAAATGACCAGGCGGCCCACGATTGGCGACTCTAAGAAAGGGGGCTTCTGAACTCAGCACGGATAAATGCACAGAGACGTTGTTTGTTTGTTTTTTCCAAACATCATGTGACATTTCAGGACACGTGACATTTGAGAGCACGGGACATTTCAGGACACGTGACATTTCAGAACACGTGACTGAACACAAAGCTTACCCAACATTGAACGTGTGCCACGCCAGGACTAATTTCACGTGGGGGCGAACATTCTAGCAAGTTTTCAAGACAGGTGTTCTAGACATATCAGTGAACAAATACCATGACGCTCATTCCTTTTGTACAAGCATACGAGGAGGAGGAGGAGGAGGTCGGGACTTGAGGGGGGTGGGGTATGCTATTGTTGCATCTCATTTATTTGCGCAGTTCTCAGCTGCAGACGTCAGCCAACTATTGTTGCACATTTTGTTTAACTATACGACGGGAGTCTTTCTGTGACATATCACGTGATGTGATTTCTTTCTAGCTTGCCACGCGCACTCTATGCTTAGACTTTATCAACCATTGATGGTCTTTATATATTTTCATCATCCCTTTTCACTTCAAGCAATGGAGCTAATCTTTAACTTCAATTATGGAGCTTATCCTTAACTTCAATTATGGAGGTTAGCTTAAAAAGCAATCTGTGGAGCTTATCTCTAAACTCCAATCACACATTTGTGCACTTGTTAAAGATGTCTGTCTTGGTTTGAAATCGTGTTTCTTTCAGCACTAGCTCTGGGGTAGCCAATGTGCTACTTTAACGATTAGACATGACATAATGGCTACCATAGATCACATGGCCTGATGGCTACCAAAAGTCACACGATCTTGTTGCTATCAAGGTCACATTCACTTAAATTGCTCCGAATCAAATACCTTTCAACCCATCTTCATCCCAATTACTAGCCTCACCACATCAAACAACGCAACCACACACATATCATCCAACCACATATCATCCAACCACATATAATCCAATCACATATCACCCCACCACAGATAATATATCATCCAACCACATATCATCCAATCACTTATCACCCAACCACATATCATTAAATCACATATCATCCAACCACATATAATCCAGTCACATATCACCCCACCACAGATAATATATAATCCAATCACATATCATCCACTCACATATCATCCACTCACTTATCATCCAATCACATATCATCCAATCACTTATCATTGAATCACATATAATCCAATCACTTATCATTGAATCACATATCATTCAATTACATATCATCCAATCAAATATACAATCACATATCTTCCAATAACATATTATACAACTAAATATAATCCAGTCAGATATCAGCCGGTCACATATCATCCAATCACATATCATCCAATAACATATTATCCAATTACATATCATCCAATCATATATCATTCAATCACATATCATCTAATCACATATCATTCAATCGCATATCATACTATAACATATAATCCAGTCACATACCGTATCATTTAATCACATATAATCCAAACACATAGCATTTAATCATATAAAGCCATTCTTAATATTTTTTTGTGCATATGTTAATTTGTAAATATTCTAAAGTCACATACATAAAAATCTGACGAAGAAGACCTGAATGTAGGTGTCAGGGCAACACAACTTTTAAACTATGTATCTCGAATTGAGAACCTCTGAACTGTGAAAACTTAATCAGTGATTCTCGGTGGTGCTGGTTGAACTCTGCATGTTAAAATTAAAAAAAAATCGGTGGTTGGGAGGGGAACTAACATTCCGATAAAACGAACTTTTGATTAACCGATATGCTCCAATGGAATTCATTGTGTCAATTATGCAAGCCCAAAATTTTGTCATGTCGATCGAAATGAATTGAAGTTTTATTTTTTGAAAGTCCAAAGTCTAAAAGGTTACTGGTATTCAAGCATTTGAGGCGCACTTGCTGTTCAACATTGTACATTTCAACTGAAAACCATGCACATCTGTGTAACACTGATCGGGGTGACCTCAGTAACCATGGATACAACTATATTAAGCCTCATTTTCGGAGGTCAATTATTATTTCAATACTTAGACAGGCGTGTCAATGTCAAATAACTTATTTGTTTTTTTTTTATTTTCTTCTTTCGCCCCACACATTTCATGCAAATAACTTTACGGATTTAGTCTCAAAGTATGTATTATCAATTTTTTGCACTTTCAAAGTATGTATTATCAATTTTTTGCACTTTCAAAGTATGTATTATCAATTTTTGTGCTTTCAAAATATGTATTATTAATTTTTGTGTACTTTCATAGCAGGTATTACAAGTTTTGTGTACTTTCAAAGTATGTATTATCAATTTGTATGTACGTTCTTTGGGCAACAGTTTTCCATGAAAGAGCTGCTCTAAAAGAAAATAGCCACACGATACCAAGTAATCGATTACTGATTTTATCGAACGTAACAAACCCAACTTTAAGGGTTCGAGACTACTGACATCAAATAGATACAGATATTGAGACTACTGACATCAAATAGATACATATATTGAGACTACTGACATCAAATAGATACATATATTGAGACTGCTGACATTAAATAGATACATATATTGAGACTACTGACATCAAATAGATACATATATTGAGACTGCTGACATCAAATAGATACATATATTGAGACTACTGACATCAAATAAATACAGATCTTGAGACTACTGACATTAAATAGATACATATATTGAGACTGCTGACATTAAATAGATACATATATTGAGACTGCTGACATTAAATAGATACATATATTGAGACTACTGACATCAAATAGATACATATATTGAGACTGCTGACATTAAATAGATACATATATTGAGACTACTGACATCAAATAGATACATATATTGAGACTGCTGACATTAAATAGATACATATATTGAGACTACTGACATCAAATAGATACATATATTGAGACTGCTGACATTAAATAGATACATATATTGAGACTACTGACATCAAATAGATACAGATATTGAGACTACTGACATCAAATAGATACAGATATTGAGACTACTAACATCAAATAGATACAGATATTGAGACTGCTGACATCAAATAGATACAGATATTGAGACTGCTGACATTAAATAGATACATATATTGAGACTACTGACATCAAATAGATACATATATTGAGACTGCTGACATTAAATAGATACAGATATTGAGACTACTGACATCAAATAGATACAGATATTGAGACTACTGACATCAAATAGATACAGATATTGAGACTACTAACATCAAATAGATACAGATATTGAGACTGCTGACAGTAAATAGATACAGATATTGAGACTACTGACATCAAATAGATACATATATTGAGACTGCTGACATTAAATAGATACAGATATTGAGACTACTAACATCAAATAGATACATATATTGAGACTGCTGACATTAAATAGATACAGATATTGAGACTACTGACATCAAATAGATACATATATTGAGACTACTGACATTAAATAGATACATATATTGAGACTGCTGACATTAAATAGATACATATATTGAGACTGATGACATTAAATAGATACATATATTGAGATTGCTGACATTAAATAGATACATATATTGAGACTACTGACATTAAATAGATACACATATTGAGACTACTGACATTGGCTTTGGCGTTGCTGTTAGAAGTGGCAGTAACATTAACCTAACTGAACAGTGGGGCGATTATAGACAAAGTGCATTAATGGGGCGACTATGGACAATGTGCATTAACGGGGACGACTACGGACAATGTGCATTAACGGGACGACTACGGACAATGTGCATTAGCGATGCGACTATGGACAATGTGCATTAACGGGGACGACTACGGACAATGTGCATTAACGATGCGACTATAGACTGTGCATTTACGTGGAGACTTATACGGACAATGTGCATTAACGGGACGACTACGGACACGGTGCATTACTGTTGTATTCAATTTTACACATTTTACTTATGGCCCCCTTTTTACAGCCCATACATGATTTACTCGTATGAACAGAAGTGAACTGTGGCACACACTCTTTCAGATATTCTGATGTGCTCATTATTTCAGGTGCAATTTGGGTTTGATTTTGCCATTAATACATGTCCATTAATATCACCTTCATTATATCCATTAATATCATCTTTTTTTATATCCATTAATATCACCTACATTATGTCCATTCATGTCAATTTAATTATGTCCATTGGCTGGTCATCTGGGTGACGTCATGGCAGCGGATTGAATGTAGCCGATTGTATATATTCAAAGGGAGGGAGAGAAGGAGACAAAGCTTTCCCTCTCACTCTCTCTCTCTCTCTAACAATCTCAGGAATTCATCGACTTGTGATCGTATTGTGGTGATGTGGTCATGTGATTATGTGGTAGTAATGTGATCAGAGGAGCGAGAGAATGAAAAGGGGGGGGGGTCGGCAGGAGAATGAAATAAAAAGGGAGTCACGGAGAATGCACAAAAGATAGCGTACGGTCTAACGATCCTGGCTGTGGCATGAAATTAAACTGACCATTGGTCAGTCGTCAGTCGCGACTCTCAGATAAATGATCATGGGTATGTAGCCACGCCCTTAGTTAGCCACGCCTTAGATAGCCACGATCTTAGGTAGCCACACTTTAGTTAGCAACGTCTAAGATAGCCGCGCCTTAGATAGCCACGCCTCAGATAGCCACGCCTCAGATAGCCACGCCTTAGATAGCCACGCCTTAGATAGCCACGCCTTAGATAGCCTCACCCTTAGTTGGCCACGCGTGCTTTTAATAAATGCCAATGAATAATGAAATCCTTTGTTAAGAGTGAGAGGTGGGGGGTGGGGGGTTGCAAGGGAACATCCAGATTTGTATCCATCAATTGGTCAATGCACCTAGAATATTCAAGCTCTGGGGCAGTGACGTGTGTTGTCGAGAGAAGGAATGAGATCCATTGCAAAGATTCTGCCGTACCGGAATATCTAATTGTCCGTTCATATCATCCAATTGTTTACATTTACAAATCGCTTATTTGATCTGCTTTTCTGTTTACTCCATACTGACGTCATTTTTTTTTTTAGCTGGAGTTTTCCTTCAAATTGTGTTCAATAAAATTACTGAAATAAATGCACGTGTTTTTGTTAAACTCCATTTGTGTGTGGGTGTGTGTTCGTCTTGTAATGAGCTGATCATCCGAAGCTTATTTGGGCAAACAGTGTTTGCTTTGAGATTACGACAATGAGTGTTGCATCAACTGGTTAAGACTACATAGCTGAATCTACACAAATTGATATCTGCTTGAGCCCACCTCTACCTAAGCCCACATCTAACTACCCCAACATCTATTTAATCCCACATGTACCTAGGCCAACTTCTACCTGAGCCCATATTTACCTAAGCCCATATCTACCTGGGCCCACATCTAACTAGGCCCACATCTACCTAGGCCCACATCTACTAACGCTCACATCTACCTAGGCCCATATCTACTTAGGCCCATATCTACTTAGGCCCATACATACCTAGGCCCATATCTACTTAGGCCCATATCTACTTAGGCCCATATCTATCTATGCCCACATCTATCTAGGCCCACAACTATCTAGGCCCAAATCTATCTACGCCCACATATACCTAGGTAGATGTTGACCGTCTGAGAGAAAATAAGAAGCTGACCATCTGAGAGACAATAAGAAGTTGGTCATCTGAGAAACAATTAGAAGTTGACCAGCTGAGAGACAATTAGAAGTTGACCGTCTGAGACACAATTAGAAGTTGGCCATCTAAGACACAATTAGAAGTTGGCCATCTGAGACACAATAAGAAATTAGCCATCTGAGACACAATTAGAAGTTGACCATCTGAGATACAATTAGAAGTTGACCATCTGAGAGACAATTAGAAGTTGGCCATCTGAGAAATAATTAGAAGTTGACCATCAGAGACACAATAGGAAGTTAGCCATCTGAGACACAATTAGAAGTTGACCATCTGAGATACAATTAGAAGTTGACCATTTGAGAGACAATTAGAAGTTGGCCATCTGAGAAATAATTGGAAATTGACCGTCTGATAGAAAATTAGAAGTTGACCGTCTGAGAGACAATTAGAAATTGGCCGTCTGAGACACAATTAGAGGTTGACATCTGAGACACAATTAGAAGTTGGCCATCTGAGAGACAATTAGAAGTTGGCTGTCTGAGACACAATTAGAGGTTGACCATCTGAGACGCAATTAGAGTTGACCATCTGAGACACAATTAGAAGTTGACCGTCTGAGAAACAATTAGAAGTTGACCATCAGAGACACAAATTAGAAGTTGACCATCTGAGACACAATTAGAAGTTGACCACCTGAGAAACAATTAGAAGTTGGCCGTCTGAGACACAATTAGAAGTTAGCCATCTGAGACATAATTAGAAGTTGACCATCTGAGACACAATAAGAAGTTGACCATGTGAGACACAATTAGCAGTTGACCATCTGAGACACAATTGGAAGTTAACCATCTGAGAAACATTTAGAAGTTGACTGTCTGAGACACAATTAGAAGTTGACCATCTGAGACATAATTAGAAGTTGACCATCTGAGAGACAATTAGAAGTTGGCCATCTGAGAAACAATTAGAAGTTGACCATCAGAGACACAATAAGAAGTTAGCCATCTGAGACACAATTAGAAGTTGACCATCTGAGATACAATTAGAAGTTGACCATTTGAGAGACAATTAGAAGTTGGCCATCTGGGACACAATAAGAAGTTGACCATGTGAGACACAATTAGAAGTTTACCATCTGAGACACAATTAGAAGTTGACCGTCTGAGACACAATTAGAAGGACCGTCTGAGACACAATTAGAAGTTGACCAACTGAGACACAATAAGAAGTTGACCATGTGAGACACAATTAGCAGTTGACCATCTGAGACACAATTGGAAGTTGACCGTCTGAGACACAATTAGAAGTTGACCGTCTGAGAGACAATTAGAAGTTGACCATCTGAGACATAATTAGAAGTTGACCGTCTGAGACACAATTAGAAGTTGACCATCTGAGACACAATTAGAAGTTGACCATCTGAGACACAGTTTGTACTTTAGTTTTGTTTGTCTCCACTGTGACGTCAATCAACCGAGGCGGCCAGGTGGACAAGACAACAAGGCCGAGTCTTGTTTGTTTACTTATGTGTCCGTCTGTGTGTTTACACACGGTCTACGCCTGCCAGGTGCCATTGTTGCTGTTATGATAAAACCCAGCAAGCCTTGTCTGTATGTCTGTACCTTTGTCTGTATGATGTCAAGGAATTGGAATGCATTCTTGTCTCCTACATCACGTGCATGGATCTCCAGGGGCTTACGAAGAAAAGGGTGGCGGGGGGGGGTGTCGTTGGGGGGGGGGCTTTGGTAGAGACAAAGTGAGGGTAAAGCGGAACTCTTCTCCTAGTTCAGAGGTCATACCTACGGCCTTGACCGTGTCGACTGTATAGGATAACGTAACCCACGGAAAGAATAGCTCTGCCAAACCTCTGGGTTTGCTCATAGGTCATCGGGTCATCAGGTCGTCCAAGGTTGTGAGCCAGCCTTGTTACCTACAAGAGGGGTGGGGGGCTAATGGGCAAGAGGATGACGCATGACCAGGTAGATATTG